TAGCAACAGAAATAGAAAGCAAAGCAAGGCAATGGAAAGAAAGGTTCCTTGCAAGTACACCATTTCACCGCATTCTTTCGTAATTTCACAAGGCGAGCATTTGAAAATGGCGTCTGTGTGCCGCTCGAAATGGTGCCGCTTCGAGTATTTTTCAGGCTATTAAGCCAAATTGTATGGAGCGAAGGCACGTTGAATGATAAAAGTTTATTTTTATGTGGAAAACTTAAATATGCAGCGGAAGTTCATGTTTATATCGAACTGCGAAGGAAACGGAAAAGACACAAAAAACTTGAAATAACTAAACAAAGCGGTCAACATGGTGGAGGATCAAATAGCACGTAAAGTCAGCATTTTTGAAGCAGCTGTTTTGCATGAATTTGATAAAATGAAACCTACATCAACGTCATCAACTTTTTTGGTCGAACTGAAAGATAAAAACTTTATATTTTCCTTATGAAGTTCTGAAAACTTCATTATTCATTGCTAGGAGCAGCTGCCTTCACTTCAGATCTGTATGTTTTTAAATACTTCTTGACCGAAGACAGTTAAACCATCCTTTTCTGTTTTTTAAGTAAATTTTATTTAATTTTATTAAGCATTATATGTAATAAATTTAAGAAACTCTTACAAAATTCAAAACAGAAATCATCAGGATTCTATAAATGTATCTATTTTGTGTGCCTCATCTGCGGGTTGGCATGTCCTTTCAATCAGTTAAGCAAAAGAGCTTATAAAACGAATACAATTTTCAATTTTCTTGATACAATAAAATCTAAATAATGTGACCTTTATCTATTTTATCCTTTTAAGTTGTCACAATCATGTGATTGCTTTATTGATATATCCTTTTGAACGATTATGGTTGCCATTTAATAAAATCTACCAGCAGCAATCAAACTATGGTAGAAAATTTCCTTTTTTTATATACGCACAGTGGCACAAATTACTCAAAAAGCTCCTTCAAATTATTAGAAAATATAATATTATATAAATTGTAATGTACAGAGAATAATAGTAAAAGTTTCTCTTATAGAAATATTGGTTTGATATAGTTAATTTTCACTCTTTTTATGTTATAGAGTTCGTATTGGAACAGCAAATAAATCAAAATATCAATCTCGAGGTGTTAATTTTCGAGCTTGATCTACCCGACAGTTGTGTAACTATATCGGAAGACTCGTGTGAGTCCATGTCTGATGAGTCCGATAATCTGTTGAATACATTAATTGTGTTCTTGCACATCCGTAGGCTTTAAGTGATCGCAGAACACTTACAAGTATAATTGCAGAAACAGTTGATGTAAATACACTAGGTAATCTGGATCTATACAAACGAGTGACTCAACTCAGCATAAATTACTTATAAGCTAATTATATAAAAGCTATTTTTTATATTGCATTTAGCGAAATATATTTGGTGTATCGGGAAATTAATGTGGATCCATATCGGATGAGTCCAGCACTTGGTCGATTGAATTTGTTAAATTTATTTTGAAAAAGAGTATTGCATAGCTATTAGCTTTACTTCATCGTATAACAACAGTTGATTAAAGCACAGTGGATAATCTGTATGTCACTACTCACTACTACTGCAAAAAAAAATTAATATCCTTTAAGCGAATTATATATAGTTTTTATATAGAATCTGAGTACAGTGAATAATTTGTATGTCACTACTCACTACTACTGCAACAAGTAATTAAGAAGTTATCCTTTAAGCGAATTATGTATATTATAATTTCTGGATACTTTTCAGATAGAATCTGAGGTAATTTTTTGATTCGATTAGATTTCTTCCAGCAGTAGTAACTTTATGTCATCTGAAAAGAGACAACTAACTGGTCTTCTAATGACTGGTCTTCTAATGGCCATTACTAGAGTGACTGACTTACTCTAGTAATCTAATTTAAATAAACTGCGTTTTTCGCATTTCTTTCAAATATTTTCAAATATAAACTTTCTCCACCAAATATTCTCTTTTGGTCTAAAACTAAAACTATCTAAAATTCCAGAATCTTTCTCTAAAATTTAATTTTCCGAATTCTAATTACTGTGCTTATTTACGATATTTTTCCGCTTTAATTTAAAAGCTGAACAACAATTTTAACTCCAAAACAGCAACAAAGTCTATAATTTCAATAATTCAAAAATCTAAATGAAATTCTTTCCACTCACTTAATCGATACCAAAAAAAAAAAGGCCAGAACGGAGGAAATGCCAATTTACCATTAAGTAGATAAGATTGAAAATTTAGTTGCGCTCTAGAGTGTAAATGTGTTCCTCTATGTCTGTGTATGTGTATATATATATATGTCTGTGTGTGTCTGTTACTTTGTAGATCGCGGTAAGAGAGCACATACTTACATAATAACTGCATGTAAATAACTGAAAAACCCGCCTTCACTATAAACAAGAAGAACATAGCGACTGATGCTATGAAATGATCGAATCGATCGTACAATCGATTAACCGATTGAATGAAATAGGCACATTGCAAAAGACCCACGCGATCGTACGTGCAGCTTACAACTTAGCATACTTAAGAAACTACATATAAAACGAAATTTCTAATAAAATTATAAAGAAAGATACATAAAAAAAACACAAAAAAAAAGAATAAAATAGCGTATAAATATGTACACGCGCGCCCAAGTTCAAGCGCAGGCGCACACGCCTTTTTGCTTCAATTGGATTCCAACGATCGATAACAAGATTAGAAAAAATAAGATTTATCTCGCAGATTGATAGATTCGATTACAGACAGAGCGCAAAGCGGTGGTGTGCACATCTCGTTGTAATAGCAACACCACAGCAAGATCAGCAACATCATCGAACAACACCAACTACAACACCATCAACAGCATCAGCAGCATCCACAACAACGACAGCAATTGTTGTTATGATCGCGTGTAATTACAATCAAATACAAAAGTAACAACAGCAACAACAACAGCAACAACAACAGCAACAACAACAGCAACAACAACAACAATATCAACAACAACAACTAATAGAAAACATTGCAGCAAGTGCAGCCAGTGCAACACTGCAGCAAGTGTAGCGCACGATCAGTGCTGATCACGAGCTTTGATCGAGTTTGGAGTTTGTGATGCTGCGATGCTGTGGCTTCTTCTTCTTCGTTAGCACAACTGAAACGTTTCCAATTTAATGGACTTTTAACTGGTTTCACTGGGCGCGTAATTGTGATTGTTGTTGCTGCTGCTGTTAGTGATCATGTTGTTGGTCGAGTTAGCTGTTGTTTATATTGTTGTTGCTGATCATTTGGTATTACTAGATGCCGTGTTGCATCATAAAGCAAAGCATTTTCTACTGATATTGTTGCTGATATTACTGGCACAAGTAACAGCAGTTGTAAGTTGTTTATAAAGCAATGGTTGTTACTGTAGATATTGTTTTTGTGGTTGTAGTATTGTTGTTGTTAAAGATCTAGTTGCGGCTTATTCACTAATTTAATAATTTAAAAGCATTTAAAATCCCAATCATAACTCGCAAAAAGCCGCCTAGTACAAGTAATCCGCAAATATCTATGCGAGCCTATATTAGATTAGATTAACTAATGTTATTGTTCTTGTTTTACTCTGCATACTTTTTAGTTTAATATATTGACGTTAACGACATGTAATAATCTTTTTAATAAAGTATTGAAAAGACTATATAATAATTATATTGATAAAAAAATATAACATGTTCGAATAAGTATATATTCAACCAAATTCAAAAGAAGATTTCTGACTACCACAAAGTTTCTTCAGAAATTTATTATAAAATTAATATTCGTTTGAAACTGATTAGAGATCCCCTATATCTCAAAAATGATAACAGCAATAATCGTGGCAACGTCAAGTCGGAGTATCTAGTGGACAACGAGACTATAATCCATTTTGTCAAAATATTACGTATGAATTGGCTTGGCCATGTAATCGAAAAGTCGGTTGATTTTTGAAGAGTACATATCAGTTCTCTTTACAGTGTCGGGCTGAAGTACCTAGAGGTACAACAAGACAATGGTCCATTTTGTTAAAATGTTACGTATGAATTGGTTTAATCAGGTTATCAAAAAGTTAGATGAAAGTAATTCTTACAGAGTCAAAAATGTTGTCCTTTGAAAAACAAAAAGATTACAATCCATTCTTTTAAAATATAACGTATGAATTGCGTTGATTATTTTATCAATAAATCAGATGTCAGTACTCTTTGCAAGGTCAAAAGGAGGAACTTAAAGAAACAACAAGACTATAATCCATATTGTCAAAACATAACCTATGAATTCGATGGCGATGTTATCAAACAGTCCAATGAAAGTACTTCCCTTGCAGTATCAAAATGCAGTACCTAGAGGCATAACAAGACTATAATCTATTTTGTCAAAACATAAGGAATGAATTGGTCGTGTTATCGGAAAGTCAAATCACAGCAATCTTTAAAGGATGTTTAATAGCAAAAATATGGTAGCAAGACACCGAAGACCACCAAATTAATGGAACGATGCAATAAAAGTAGACTTGAAAATTAAGAATATCTGAAATAATGAAATTAAGACTATTTACCACGCATATTGGAGAAACACTAGAAACCATGACTATGTTTGAGTTTATATAATTTGTATACAGTTTTGCTGATGAGAAAGTCGGATGACAGTACTCTTAAAGGGATCCCGAAAATAAAAAATATGGCAGCAAGGCACCGAAGACCAGAAAATCAGTGAGAAGAGGTAATGGCAATGGCCTTTCGAATCATGAATATACAAAATAACGAAATTTAGGCCGTTAAAAATGTATATTGGAGAAACCCTGTAAAAGAAGCGAGGTTTATTATTTTGATTGATTGCAACTCTATTGCGGTTAAGAAAAGTAATCCATTGGGATCTTTTATAAATAGATCGCTGATATTGCG